GTCACGGCATTTGAAATTGATTCTACGAACGATGAGTACCGGATGATGCCCTACATTACCAAATATCACGTGTACGAAGATCAGATGAAAAAAATGAAGGTTTTATATGCGGCCCAAATTTTCAGCTACACGGTAGCGATGGCCATGTATACGATGGCACAAAACAGTAAGTACAAGATGCTTAACACTTTATATTTNGAATTATTTTTTCCAAATTAAAGATGCTTCGGGAACATCGTTAGGGGAGACAGGAAAGGAAACAGCCGCCGTGTTGAGCCGTTCTTCGATAACGTGTTCGACAGCCTCAATGGTGATTACACTGACGCACGGAATCCGAGGAAGAAGCCTCTGCGAGATGCAGTAACGAGCACGTCCCCTCACCTCCAATTCTGGAAGGAAGCAATCGTCTGTTTACGGGGTATGTCTTTTAAGCAAGTAGGCACGAATGGGCATACTGTGCCTCCCCTTCACTAAAGAATTTCATATTGACAATTGAAGCGTTTATAAGTATCCGCGATATATTATTAAAAAACGGGATTAAATCTTTTTATGCGCGGACTTTAAATCAAGATCCCTTAGAGAATTTTTTCGGGCAAATACGCCAACACAGATTTCGGAACAATAGCATTAATTCTACTCAGTTCGAACAATCATATAAAACATTGTTAATTAGAAATATTAGTAGTCCGCATTCAATAGGCAGCAATTGCCAAGAGANTTCTTCATCTGCAAAGCGGATCGAGAATATAGTTTGTTGAGTTCTCCACTTGATACGAACTTCATGGGAGTGCGAAAATTTAAAAACAAATTAGAATCAGTATGTATACAGGGTGTACCAGAACTAGTGTAAGATATTGAAATGGGAAGTTCCTGACGTAATTCTAAACAGCATTTTCCCAGGGTAGCGACACTCGAATATGAGGATTGTTAGCAAGGAATTTAGTATCTGCACATTCCGAGCAGATGCCTCTGCGTTCGATTTTAATGTCAAAGCTGTCCAGTAGATGGCGCTCGCAACGACGTTGTGACGAAGAAGTACAAAGAAGTGGCTGGGATTGACGAGGATAAGTTATATGTGATTATTTACGCAAGCGCAGAATTTCGATTTCGTTGCACTTATTGTTACTGTTTTGTAAAATCAAACGTAATTATAAAATATTTTGTATATGAAGTGTAAGTATTCGCTCAGAAATATTCAGTAACGTAGGTTTAAATTCTATTATTTATTTAATGCACATTATAAACATTTCTACCTCCCCCGTTTCCTTATTTTTGGGAAAATTGGGGGTGTTTAAGGGGAGGAAGCAGCGTAAAGAACAAAGAATCCTTGTAGAAAGAAGCCCTGCCTATGTGAAAAATTGCTGGAGCCTGCCTTTCCGTTTCGGAATACCGTGCAGTACAGATCGTCAGCGAATTATAAGGATTTTTGTAGAAGAGCAGTTAGTAGACGAAGAAAACACGTGGCCTTTCTCAACTTCCATTTATCGATATACATATCACGTAAGTTATTAAACATTATACAATCATTATAAACATTGAACAATCATAAAGGGAATGTAGATTCTAATATTGAAGCGTTCTTATACCATGCATTTAAGCAACTAATACATTATTAGTTATCATCCATAACGTTGTAAAAGAAACGAGAATCGCAGGCGTGAAATCCACAATAATTTTATTCATTTCAGATTTGAAAATAATGGTATACCATTCCTGTTGTGTGCCAGGCTGTTACGATCAGACGTCTACGCGTCATCGATTTCCAAATCCCACTAAGGCCGAAATTCGATTTAAAGAGTGGGTACGTTTAGTGGGAAACGAGAAGTTATTGCAGATAGATCCTGGAAAAATATTTCGGAACTATCGGGTTTGTCACGAACATTTCCGTCCAGAGGACAAATCTACGAATAATTTTTTAAAGAAGACAACATTACCATCTCGAAATTTACCACATATTAAAAGTATGTTCAATATCCTGATTGGAATATTTAACGTGATACTAAAGAGTGTTTGCAGTACTGATCATTTTTTATCATTTTTTATGTTTCAGAAGCACAGGCAAGTACATCGTGTACTGCGGAAACAGACTTGCAGCAGGAAGAAGTGATACCTTCGACATCGAAAACGTTCCATCCCGATGAAATCGTATTTCAACAATCAAGTACTGATTGTAAGTATTATATTCATAATGTATTTCATTTTTTGGAAAATGTAGATTTATTTTGATATTCATTTTTTTTTAGTATTGATCTTATT